ATATATCGAACAATCTGTTACACAAAGCAATGTTAAAAACGCTGTTACTCACACTTGTGTGTTGCGACATTCGTCTCTGTGAACAGCATGCACCGAACTGTCTCGTTTTAGACAGTTCGTTCGTTGTCCATACTTACTTAATGTTCATCCATGCTTACTTAAACGAAGGCAATGTAAAGACTGCGTTTTTATTACAAATGTTTTGTAATCCTCATTCCTCAGAAACATTTTTATCGTTTGTTTCTTCTGCAGATGCTTGGTTTAAAAAAAAAAAAAACTGTATTAGGCTGTCTTCGAACTTAATTTTTAAGGAATATTCCCAAGAATATATTATGAAATTGTGGTATGTATTATTGAATTATTGTTGCATAAAAAGCATGTTTTTTGCATAGCACCTTTGAATGTGATTCAAATCTGCTTTACTGGAAGTTATATTGTTGTTTTTTGTTGCATATTTGCCAGATATTACCTGCAGATTTTCTGCACACCAATTGTATTTGCCAAGGTAGTGTGTTTTTGCTATTCATCGCATATTGAATAAAAATACGGATTTTTTTTAAAGGATTAGTATTTCTTCATGGTGTACTTCTGCTGAGAGAAGAGAAAGAAATCTGCCTACTCCCATAATTATATCTCAGCATATCATTATTGAAAAGACCTCTAAAAGCCGAAAAACTCTTGCCCTTATTAAGCAGCTCCTGTGTTATCTCACCATTCGTACAATTGCTAAATCAATCCATTTCAAATGTCATTTTTAAGAACGTCTAACTTATGAAAATGCCATTAATACATTTGTGTACACAGTCTATTGGAGAAACCTCAGGCGCTTTTCTTCAGAAATGTTCTTTTATGCATGTAACACTACAGGAGTTAATTATTAAAGACACCGCATTACACTTTCCTGAAGCATATTTCTAGGTTTATCACTGCAAAATTAAAAATGATAAGATTTAGCCCATCATTCAAACTCACGGTTATTGGCTTTTTAAATTCTCGGTCACAGAGGAAGGCTGGGTCTTCAGAGATTACAGACAGCCGAATTAATCGGCCCAGGTGGGCCACCTGGATGAGCCTAGAAGTAGTTGTTTATGACCTCTAAGTGTCATAAGTGTTTGGGTTTTTTTTCTGTCTAGCTACAATCCTTATGTGATAAATCTTACAGTAGCCTCTCAAAATGTCAGATGGTTCATCAGCAAGTGGAATAGCAAGCAGGTGCTGCCTTCTTTTAATGGCAGAGGCATATGTTGACGTTTTATCAATAGACATTATTAAATCTTGCTTGGGTGAGTTAATCTCCAGCTGATGGTGCAGAGAGGTTGAGAGAGACAGGCTTTAACAGGCCTTCCTGAAAGGCAGGTCATAAGCTGCTTATTATATCGACTCTGTCTTACAAATGCACACACACATTTTTTTTCTCACCATCTCTCTCTCTCTCGCTAACCTTCTGCATTTCTACCGTTCTTGCATGCACTGAATAAAATCTTTAGCAGGGTCATGCTTACTGTATATACCTATGGTGTGTGAAAATAATTTTATGGATTGATGTTGAATAGTGGATGCCATCTTTTACTATGCTGTAATATAGATCTTTTTATAAATAGGAAATAGGTTTTTTATATAAATCAAGGATTTTCCTTCCTTTTCCTTTAGTCAAAGTTATGCGATTTTAACTTCTCCTTGCTGTTATATACACAAGTGTCACATTTTGGAAATCAATTTGTCTTTTTTTGTTGTTGACATTATGAATTATTAAAAATGTATGCACCCAAGTTGTGCTTCAACTTTATTACTGTCATATTTTTCCCATTTCTGAGTTATAAACTATAAATCAAAAAATCCGTCATGACAAGTTTCCTGACATGAATCTTAAGACAATTTGAAGTATCCTTTTTTTTTTTTTTTACCTTACAGTACGTTTTGTTTTTTTGTCAGTAGGGGTTTCTCTTAAAATGTCTACCCTACCTTCAAACTTGTGATAACTACAAAGTGCATTTGTGTAAATATCAATATTAAATTCTACTTTTAAGAAGTACTTTCCAGCATAAGGTAATGTAATTAATAGGTATTGTTATATTAAAGGGATAGATCACTCAAAATGAAATTTGTCATCATTTATTGTTATAATTTCCCAAACCTTTACCTGCTTATTGGTATTTTAACAACAAAACATTTTCAAAATAAGAAATTCATACAGGTTGGAACAATATGAGGGTGAGTAAAAAAATTCTGGGTGAACTATCCCTTTAAACTTAAGTTGGCACGTTAAGTTTTTTTAATTTCTGAACACGTTTGTTTGACGGATTGTTTAAAATCTTACAGAAATGTACAACCTAAAAAGGCAGTGTTTCATAGAATGAATCCAGTGTTTGCAGACACACCAAAAACACTGTTTTGTTTCTTCTTTCTTTTAAAACACTTCACAAATTTATACATGAAGATACATTGCAAACGAAAGTAAAGTTACACGCACGAACCCAAACACATAAGAGCTCCCATCAAAGGCAGACAGCTCAGGGGCCTAAGTTTATTGAAATGACTATTTTTCCTCAGCTGCACGTGTGTATGTGTGTGTCTGAGAGACAATGGCAGCTTTATGGCTCTTGCTGGAGCTAGCAGAAGGAGCAGAGGCTGACAGTGGGTGATAAGACCACCAGCCTGCTTCTTGTGATAATCGTTCGCTGGACCCCCACTCACTCTGTGCACAGCTTACAAGCCTAAGTAGCCAGAATCTTGTGTGTGTGTGTGTGTGTGTTGGAAGCGAACTAGCGAGCAGAGAGCGTTCATGAACACAGAGAAAGCGCCAGTGTAAAAGAGAGTGAGACACTGTCTTTATGTTGCATCATATGAAGGTAACCAAGTAGGCTTGTCCTTGTGTGAGCATGCAGTGTGTAATACATCAAATGTTTCCTTGCTTTCTGTGATGAATAATGTCATATGTTCTTAAAGTCTCTTCATGATCTGGCTGTCTGTGATTTTAATCAATCCCTCACAACTGCTCTGTGAGGAAATGTGAGATGAAATGTGTTGGTTACACTACAGTAACTACATGCATGATTATCTAGTTGAATATTCACTTTTTACAATTGCAATAACAGTTGAAATAAACATTGGTATTTCATATGGTTTTATAATTATACAGTATATTCAGTAGGATCAATAAGAAATTTATTTCACAGAAATGAATACTTTTTTCCCATAGATTTTATATCCAAAAATACATATTTGAGAAAATACATAACCAGCCAGATTTCCGCGGGAGATTCGAGCATGTTTTTGCGTCATTACCTCACATCTGTATACATAAAGGAGGAGTCCCTGCTAGGCTATATTGAGTGTGAGGATGCTGGAGGTGGAGATTTATAGCCTTTTCTCACAGCACTTGATATAATCAATTTGATGGCGGATTCAGAAAATCAATCACCAGTGACAACAGATTCACCCGCTGTAAAATGCAAAAGACTCCGTTCGGACTTGCAACCGGACTCACGCGAAAACAAGGAGGAAAGGACATTACATGTAGTCACGCAATGCTGACGTTGTTAACATTAACAATTTGAGAACAAAATATAATTTGCACGGTTTTGAATTATATAATAACTTATAAGCGATTGTTGGATTTAATCAACGCGATTTACTGCAATGTCAGAACCAGAACAAAACTGGATGTTACTTACTTGTTCAGATGACATTTTCCGGTGAAAATTATTATGTTATTCATACTTCCAAAAAGAATAATCTGTGATTCTGAATGCCAGTATCACACCGACGCGGTGAATGACAGCCGCACACTCTCCTCAAACATTGTGTTCATCCACGCTGTGCCGTGTCGAGGGTGTTGAAGTACAACTCCGCTAATTGATAATTCCGCTAATAACTGTAATTGCAGATTTTGAACAGAGATGGCGACAAAAGGGAAAAACGCCGGACTTCTGCAGCTTTAAAGGGTTAGTTCACCCAAAAATGAAAATTAAGTCATTAATTACTCACCCCCATGCTGTACCAACCCCGTAAGACCTTCGTTCGTCTTCGGAACACAAATGAAGATATTTTTGATTAAATTTGAGAGCTGTATAACTACCACATTGGCTCCTAAAGGACTGCCTCTTGACGGCCCAGAAAGTCAATGAAGAAAATGTTTAAATATCCCAAGTGACTACCGTGGCTCAACTATATGTTTATCAAGCGACGCGAATACTTTTTGTGCGAAAAAACTATTTCTTTTCTTCCTTGTAGGCCAGAACGAGACTTCCTTAGATTTCCACGATGCATGCGCGAGATTTGCGATCTGCTCACACCAGCTTACACTACTTCAGATCGCAATTCTCGCGCATGCGTCGTGGAAATCTAAGGAAGTCTCGTTTCTGGCCTACAAGGAAGAAAAGAAATAGTCGAATAAACTTGTTATTTTTGTTTGTTTTTTCGCACAAAAAGTATTCGCGTCGCTTGATAAACATATAGTTGAGCCACGGTAGTCACTTGGGATATTTAAACATTTTCTTCATTGACTTTCTGGGCCGTCAAGAGGCAGTCCCTCAGGAGCCAATGTGGTAGTTATACAGCTCTCAAATTTAATCAAAAATATCTTCATTTGTGTTCCGAAGACGAACGAAGGTCTTACGGGGTTGGTACAGCATGGGGGTGAGTAATTAATGACTTAATTTTCATTTTTGGGTGAACTAACCCTTTAAAATAGGGAACAGTTCTTTTATATTATAAAAATATTTCACAATAATACTGTTTTTACTCACTTTCAATGCAAATGTATTGCCAAGTAAAAGATGAGTTATTATTGATGGTTTATATCTGAATGGCCTGATAATGGCCAGTTATGCTGTGTAATGTGCACTAAATTGAATGTGAAAACCTGTCTTGTTAGATTGACAGGGCAATCTTTTTAGGCAGGGACGGGGAGTAAACAAATATGTGTATGCAAGAATAGTTCCCAACATAAAAGTGAGTACCAATATGCTTCTTCTAACCTCTCTCTCTTTCTGTTTCAGGTGTCTGGCCTTCTGAAGAGGTGATGGCCTACTACTGCCTGAAGAAACGTCACATGTTTACGTGAGGACCCCACCCCACTTCTCTCTCTCTCTCTCTAAATTTCAACTTATGTGTGTTTTATTGGCATGACAAAAACTGTACATTTGCATTGCCGAAGCAATGGCAGCTAGGCTGCGTACAGAATGTGTGCAATGTAAGGTACAATAACATTCTCTTTCTCTCTCTCTCTCTCTCACACGCACACACACACACTTTGGCCATATGACAGAAAGGCAAGGGGCACTTTTTGATTTGCACTCAAGGCAGTACACAAGCCTTTGATTTCCTGTTTTTACATTCAAGAGGCAGAGGAGGGAAGAGAGGCTTATCGATCACACAGCGGCAAGCTGAAGGTCAACTGGGCATATACAGGGTTTTACGCCCTTGGGCCGATGCTTCTGCAGGAGTGTGTGTGAATGTGTGTGTGTGTGCGGAGGATGTTAAGACCTGTGTTTCTGTTGTGATTCGGTCCGTGTATCGCTTCTGCGCATATTCAGACCTCTAAATTAAAAGCAAAGTTAATTTGCATGAGTGTGAGGAGTGTGTTTGTGCACGTGTCGATGTGCGCTCTTGTTCCTGTATGTCATCAAGGACTGTCACCCTCTCGCTATCTTCCAGACCTGTTATCAGGCACTCACCAAAAAGAGAAAAAGAGGAGGATAAAGCAGAACAAAAAAAAAGTCAATTTACAGAGAGCGCCCATCTCTTCTCTTCATCCCTTTGGTTTTTTCGCCTTTCTTTCCACTAGTCCAATGTACAGCCAAATAGCTACCTGTCACTGGGGCTTTGTCCCCGCCGCGGCTCATACTAGCAGTTTTGTGCGCATTAATTTTTAATTGCACTCCCTCATACAACAATCGCTCTCTCTTCATCCTCCACTCTGTCTCTCTGTCAATGGAAGGTGTCGGATCACGGGCTGAGAGCAGACAAACACATGGAGACTGTTGTCACAAAGCGTAAAAAAGACTGGCAAAGTGATGAAGCCAAGCTGCCTGTGTGTGTGCGGCTGTGGACTGCTTTTTACAAGGACTCTCTACTGTATATTTTGCGTATGACAAACACAACTGAACTCTATGCAAATTATAGTCTTTGTGTAAATTCTGCATTTCTGTGGGAATTATATGAATTACCTTTCATATGAATTATTCCATTCGGCTGCTGTAGGTTTCTGTATGTGTTAACTGTTATGGTGTGACTCAAAAAAAAAATTCCGCCACTGAATAAAAAAGAAAATTGAAAAAAAAAATCTGAGAAAAAAAAAACCTATTCTAAATGCAATCCAATTAGGCTATCTAGGCTATAATTATTATTATAAGACACTTATAAACATTTTAAAGAGCGGGGAAAATACTTCCAATATCTATATAGTTAGTTGTTGACGTGTGGTTTAAATGACATTTTTCCAGTCAAATTCTGCTGTAGATGCTACGCAATTTAGCCAGATGCTAACGTTTGTCCCAATTTGTGGCATTTTGTAGTATAAGTACTGTGAGCAGAGCCGTAGCTGGGGTATCCAGAGCCCCGATGCTTGAAATCGTGTTCCTTGTCCCCCCTCGGTTGAAATCGCGGGGTCCCCCTAAGAGTAAGGCTGAAGGGCCCTAGATTCGTCACCACCTTTCGTCCCTAGCAACAGCCCTGAGTGCGAGTAGTGTGTTCACACTGAAAATTCCATAATGAAAAAGTGCACTTCACATACCCGAACAATGCACTTAATTAACCGATAAAACGAAGTGTGGAATGTTGGACACTTCATGCACTCAACTGTCGCAGCAGAAGGGGAGGGGCTATCAGATTCCGACGTTAAATCACAGAATAACTTCAAGAAACAGCCATGATCCGCACTCAGAATCTGAATCATTTTATTTCACTTATCCACATAAAATATGATCCTGTTAAATGCATCCAACAATAATTTTCATGAAACACAAGACATCATTTTACATTAAAAACAATAACTGAGTATCACACAGTCAAAAGAAACTTTCCCTTTAACCATTTAGACAAATTAAAAATTCTAATATGTCGGAAGTAATGCTGCGTTCAAGTCCTCCAGGGGAGTTCGTACTTACGAGGTGGGAAGTCTTGTTTACGACGTGAGGTGCGTTCAAGTCAGTTTCGTCGGAGCAAAATGGCGGTGTACCTACTTTTAATGAATTACATGGAAATACAGCAAGGTTTGTTAACTCTGCTAATAAAAAAAAAAGAAGAACAAAGAATGCGCATCAGGTGTGTTTTTCTATTATGTTTTTTCATTAGCTTATGAAGCCAATGTAAAATCTATCATTAGGTATAATTTTTATATTACAATGATATCATATTTTGTGCAGAGAGCTTGCTTTATAAATGAAAAAGCCTTGCAATGTCAATGAGTAAACATTGAAATGTACCGTCAACAGACGTTGAATGAACGTTTCTCACTGACACGCCCCCAACTCGTACAGATCGGGGCTTAAAGAAAATCCCGAGCTCCCCACTGGTATTTACAACATTGTGGTGGCGTTCAAGCGCGTTCAACTCGTAATTACGATCTATACGAGATGACTTGAATGCAGCATAAGTGAAAACTACTATTTATGTCATTATTTACATCCCATCCCACAACAGAACACTTATGTTTCCAAGAGACATTACCGGCTGTCGTTGAAACAATGGAGGATGCTGTACAGATCACCGAGGGCGGGGTCTAGGCCACAACCACACTGTCAATCAAACCCCTTGCTCAGTTCTACGTCACAAAGCACTGAATAACAGCTCGTTCTGAGACGGTGCATATGATTTATTGAGATTGTAAAAAAACCACTGGGTGGATTTTTATCATTCTAGGGTGGTTTTGCTCACACACTGCCAACACACATTTATGTTAAATAAATGTTAAATAAGGTCTTCTTTTTTATGTTTTACGATGGGTGGCAACTAGCATTAAGGTGCAATGTCGCCACCTACTATGTTGGAGTGTCAGATACTGATTATTTAGGATTATCATGTCAAATTAACATATCAATATCTCTTTTATTTTTAAAGGGTTAGTTCACCCAAAAATGAAAATTAAGTCATTAATTACTCACCCCCATGCTGTACCAACCCCGTAAGACCTTCGTTCGTCTTCGGAACACAAATGAAGATATTTTTGATTAAATTTGAGAGCTGTATAACTACCACATTGGCTCCTAAGGGACTGCCTCTTGACGGCCCAGAAAGTCAATGAAGAAAATGTTTAAATATCCCAAGTGACTACCGTGGCTCAACTATATGTTTATCAAGCGACGCGAATACTTTTTGTGCGAAAAAACAAACAAAAATAACGAGTTTATTCGACTATTTCTTTTCTTCCTTGTAGGCCAGAAACGAGATTTCCTTAGATTTCCACGACGCATGTGCGAGAATTGCGATCTGAAGTAGTGTAAGCTGGTGTAAGCAGATCGCAATTCTCGCACATGCGTCGTGGAAATCTAAGGAAATCTCGTTTCTGGCCTACAAGGAAGAAAAGAAATAGTCGAATAAACTTGTTATTTTTGTTTGTTTTTTCGCACAAAAAGTATTCGCGTCGCTTGATAAACATATAGTTGAGCCACGGTAGTCCCTTGGGATATTTAAACATTTTCTTCATTGACTTTCTGGGCCGTCAAGAGGCAGTCCCTTAGGCAGCCAATGTGGTAGTTATACAGCTCTCAAATTTAATCAAAAATATCTTCATTTGTGTTCCGAAGACGAACGAAGGTCTTACGGGGTTGGTACAGCATGGGGGTGAGTAATTAATGACTTAATTTTCATTTTTGGGTGAACTAACCCTTTAAGTATCATGATTGTCATAAATACTGGTACATTGCAACACCCCTAATTCAGTGCCATTATACATACGATTAAAATACAACACTATTACCATCTGATGCATCACTGTACTGTACAGAATCGAAGCAGAAGACTGATCCCGTACGTTTAATTAACTTCCAGTTCTGTACCGCAAATCCACATTTCCAGCAGGAAAAAAGGACAATTGCGCTTTCTTTTGTCAACACTTATACACCCGCTCACATGCAGAAACGAAGAAGGGAGAGGAAGGTTAAGATCAATGAGCCCAGTGGAATTGCATTCCAATCAATGGCATCCCCCTATACACGGGCAAGTTAATTAGCGTTATTGTCAAAACACAACAGCCATCTCCCTCTCTGCGTCTCTCTTTATCTCTCTCATCCTCCTGTTTTCCTCTCATTTAAACTGAAAAACTTCACTCTCGTGCTCATGTACTTCAAATTTTACGCTAAACAGCGCATCAAGCCCCCTTCTGTCTCTCTGTCTCACAGGGGTTCGTCGGTGTGTGAGCTGGGAGGAGGGATGACGTGTCTTGCCGGGCTCATGGTAAGTCAAAAGTGAACGCAAAAATGACACAGTACTCTCACACAGACAGACGGTCACAGGCAAATGGGCAATTTGCATCAGCATGGGTAATCTAACATGGCATATTGTAAGCAACATGAAATCGGCCGTTGCACATTGACATTTCTACCTCAGTGACCATAAACACACGTGGACCATTGGGCTAACGTCATCAAAACTGTTCAAACACACGGGCTTGCATATGCAAGCGCTTTCTTTCTTGGTGTCATACACACACACACACACACACACACAAACACCAGTGGCTTAGACTCTAGCTATGTGTAGTGTATAGTAGTTTGTAGTAACCTCTCCAGATGGACAGGCTTAACATGTTATCGATTTCACCTTCACAAGACCAGCCTTCCGGTATCTCTCCACTCAATACCCCCGTGTTGTGACATTACGGACCACCAGTGGATCGCCTTCCTCGCCCCCCCCCCCCCCCCCCACTCAATCTCTCATCTCTTTTTTTCTTTTTTTACTCGTATTCCACCTTTTCTCAGGTCTGACTTAGTGCCTGTGTTTATCTACGTCCTTGACAAGGAAAAATGGCTCCTCTTCTTTGTCCTGTGCCCTGGAGTGCTGTGGTTTTGGCAGTACCACCCATGTTTTTCTTGGGTGACTGGTTGGTTTCCTGCAGGTCTTGATGCCCATATGGCTAGCTGGTGGTGTGGGCCCTGTGACCTGACTCTTGCCCACAGGGCAAAAAACACAGCATCACTCTGGAGAGATATTTCTCCTGCATTGTCTCATTTTGTCAGTCCCTTTGTTGTTAATATTAACATGAGCAGCTCATATAAAGACATTTAAACAGTCTGCTAATGATTTTGCGAATTGTGCATCTTCTAAACTACTTTTTTGTCCAGGAAGCTGTTCTCTGTGACAACACATGGTATATTTGTCACATTATGCCATCAAAACAAATATATACAAAATGTTTAATGTTTCTTATGGTCACCCAATTTGCATTTATTTGATAAAAATTGAAGAAAAACAGTAATATTGTGAAATATTTTTAGATTTTAATATGTATTAAAATGTAATTTTTTACTGTGATGGCAAAACTGAATTTTCAGCACCATTACTCTAGTCTTCAGTGTCACATGATCTTTAAGAAATCATGCTAATATGCTGATTTGGTGCTCAAGAAACATTTATTATTATTATCAATGTTGAAAACTAGTTGTGCTGCTTAATATTTTTACCATGATTTTTTTTTCAGGATGTTCAAAAGAACACAATTTGTTTAAAATAGTCTTTTATAACATTATAATTGTCTTTACTGCCGCTTTTGATCAATTAATGCATCCTTAGTGAATACAAGTTTCTTTTAAAGTCCCCCTGGTGAAAATCAAGGTTTTAAATTTGTTTATATGTCTATGTTGTGTTTTAATATGCTTTAAGACAAACCCTGTGCAAATTCATTTGTCAACACCATTACTGAATATTTTCTCCTTAAAACTTCAGTGAACCCAAGAAAGTCTCAAAAACATGGTTTGAACATGCTGGTGTTTCTGACGTCACAAACTACCTTGTAACCAATCACGTCAACGAGTGGATCTCTGATCTGGTGTGAGTGAGTGGAGGCAGGGCTAATTTGCATAATCATAGAACTACATATCCAAAATGAGGTAAGGGTGTAGAGTTGCATTCAAGCTATTAAAGGCATGAAGACATTATTTCCAAGGAAAAACCACTTAAATATATAATTTTGGTGATCAAAGATGAGTTGTAAGGGATAAAATGATTGACTACAGCGGGACTATAAAATACTTTTGAACGGAAGTGTATATTAAATGCATTCCTAAACCAATCTCTTAACTTTTTTTGCTTTTTTTAAAGTAAAAAAAAATAATGCTAAATTCAGTTTCATGCCTGGTAAAAATATATATATTTTAAAAATGTAAATTTTTTAAATTCACTCAGCATTGGCAGGTGTGACAAAGTTATTTTTGCTACCTGTGTTTAAGGAAAGACATCCGAAATCATATCATTCAAAAGCACAAAATAATTCCTTGCAAGCACTTTTATACACACACACACGCACTGCTTCTGCCCACTGCTCCTCTCCAAACAACTGTTACACGGCACCTCTGATAAAGATGACTACTTGAATGAAAAGACTGTATAAAAAGAGGACAGAAAGAGCTGACAGTGGAGCAGCACAAAGGCAGAAGCTTCGCAGTACAAAGTTATATGAAGGGCATCAGGCAGGCCTCGCGAGCCGAGTAAGGAGTGACAGCAGAGCGCGATGGCCCCGCATGATAAACGCCACACTGCAAATGAAAGGCTCGGCGCTCACCATCATCCCCTGTCACAATGCAATTACCCAACAGAGTGATAGCAAGATAGAGGGCTCCCAGCCACCGGGAATGATAAAAGTATTGACTGATTTGATTGAATGATTAAAATAATGCAGACATAAAATGAAAAAACGGCAGAGACAGACAGAGATGGATGAGAGGGAGCAGGGGAGAAAGAGAGACGGGTGGTCGTTTTGGAGTAGGGCTTTAAAAATCAGCGCTCTTCAGATATGACTGCTTGCGAACAGTGTGCCGAGGATGTCTTGCTTTTGTTTTATTCATTTATTTGTTTATTTTTCATCTTTTTTTTCTTCTCTTTTCCGGCAGATTGCGGTTTGTGCTGATGTGAAGGAAGTTCTGCTATCTGATGGCAACGAGAAGGCAATTCAAAGTATCCTTGCATTTCAGACCGGTATGTGGCTCTGTTCCAAAGACCTAGTGAGCTGCTCGCTCCCTACATAGGCAGCTGCTTTCTAAGGCAGTGCCTGAATTGAAATGAAACCTCATGAGTGACTGATTTGAAACAGTCTACTTAGGCAGGATTTAAAAGCACAGGAAACAATTACAAGCGACATGAGAAGAAAGACACTTTTTTTTTTAATTTGAATAAATATATATTTATAATATTGTTTAAAAAAGTTAAAGAAAAATACAGGTTCAGTTTTAAGTTACGGTTTACGTAAGTTAAGTTTTTTTTTTTTTTTTTGGTAACAATTTAGTTTTGGGTCCAATTCTCGTGATTAAAGTTGCTTATTAGCATGCAAATTATTAGGATATTGGCTGTTTATTAATACTCAAAAAGCATATATTAATGCCTCATTCTACACCCCTGTATCCTACACTATACCTAAACTTAACTACCTTACTAACTAATAATAAGCAGTAATTAAGAGTTTATTAAGGCAAAAGTTATAGTTAATAGTTAGTTAATAATGAGAATTGGAGCGAAAACTAAAGTGTTTTTAAAGAGAAGAAATTGTATTCAGCAAGGATGCATTACATTGATCTCAAATATATGCTGGCCTTTTGAGCTTTCTATTTATTATAGAATCCTGACAAAAATGTATGAAAATTCCACAAAAACATAAAAACAAAAATAGAGCAGAGCAACTGTTTTGAACATTGATAATAATAATAAATGTTTCTTGAGCAGCAAATCAGCATAGAGTTTCTGAAGGATCATGTGACAATGGAGTGATGAAAATTCAGCTTTTCCATCACAGGAATAAAATACATTTTAAAATGTATTCAAATTAAAAACTGCTATTTTAAATTGAAATAATATTATCAAATAAATGCATCCTTAGTGACAATAAGAGACTTCTTTCAAAAACCGAACCCAAAATTTTGAATGGTTCAATCTGTGCTGTATTTCCCCGCTGAAGAAAAGCAACGGAAATGTAACATCTTAAACCAGCCCAAGATGGTTTGCTGGTCAGTCTGTTATGTTGACTGGTTTTGAAAGAGTTTTTGGGAACTTTTTAATCAGGCAGGAACATAATCAGCTCAAACCAGTTTATGCTGGTTTTAATAGGTTTGATTTTCAGCAGTATTATTATTAGCATTTCTCTTGTTCGTCCACCATCTTAATACAAATATTTTCATTAAGCTTCTGTGATACTTACAATTAGTGCAAAATGAGGTAACTTAGAAGGCAGCATAATCAGGCTGCCTAACTTTTGAAAAAAAAACTTCATATTGTAAATCATCACCTTATTAAAATGCTCCACACAGACAGAGGCAACTCACTAGGTTTTGGAACGGAGCTTGTAAGTTTGTGTTTCCACAATCATCACTTTGTTTTGCAGACGTGCTGACAGCAAAGTGTGTAGTGTGTGTATATTATAGTAAGTGTGTGTATATATAGAGTGTAGGCTATCTTTGTGAGCTTAACCCAGAAAAGATGTCTGTTTAACCTGTATTTACCTCAGATATTCCTCTCACTTCCACCTCGCTCACACACACACACATGCACACATTTTCAGTCAGCCATTCTTAACGTGCACTCGGCACACGCACACGCTCCTCGACATATCCGAATGTGAGGCAAATCATCTAGCTGACACCCGAAACCTGCATTTAGCATGTTTAATACATATTCATGTCATTGAAGGCTACCGCTGTGTGTGTTGACTCACCTGCTCCTTGTCTCTCGCCCTCTCCCCCCTTCTTCCATTCCTCTATTGACTTTCCCTTTTGCCAGGAGCACAGATGAAGCTTAAACAGGTGTCAGGGTATAGCTCGAACCTTCTTTCTTCATTCCCATTCTTTGCTTTTTCTTATTCCCGCTCTCCATCTCATCTTTCCACCGCAGTCACTCAGATTAGCCACGTCTCTTGGCTCACAAAGGCAGGAAAAGCGGAGACGACAGACGTGACAGCAAAAAGTCGCAAAATTACTGTGCCCACGTTCATTAGTGCAACAGCCAGCGCTGCCACTACAATGAGCTTTTATTGAATATCAAGACTCAAAGAACAATGGCCGTGGCATGAAATTAACACAATTCCTCATTGAGAAGAGATTTGTTTAAAAGAAAATGGAGGGAAAGGGAGCAGAGCAAGACATACTCAAAACATTCAGAGTCTGTCTCTAAACTGCTTCCTGTAATAGAGTGTGAACAGACTGGCAGTAGGCTGATAGAGCATTAATTGGCAGTGCTTTGTTTCAGAGATGTGTCTGCCATAATAGAACGCTGAAGAGATTATCTGATGATCGGGCAAGGCCAGGAAAGGACAAGCTGTCTTGTGAGAACATAGTGTTTTCCTTCTTGTATTAGAGGGAAGAAAAAGAAGGTATAACAAAATTATTAAACCCATTTTGTTAGTGAAATAAAATTAGCATGGATCATAGGAGTCCTCTGAACTAGTAAGAAACATCCACTTTTGTTCTGGTTCTGTCATTGCAGTAAATCACGCTGATTAAATCTAACAATCGCTTATAAGTAATCATATCATGCAAAACCGTGCAAATTATAATTTGTTCTCAAATTGTTAATGTTAACAGCATTGCGTGACTACATGTAATATCCTTCCGATATTATCCTTGTTTTCGCATGAGTCCGGGTGCAGTCTCTTTTTTTCACTCCGAAGTCTGAATGAATTCTTTTGTATTTTACAGCGGGTGAATCTGTTGTCACTAGTGATTGTCGTTTGATCCTTTCTGGACCCGCCATCAAATTGATGCGTTTAATTATATCAAGTGCTGTGAGAAAAGGCTACAAATCTCCACCTCCAACATCCTCACACTCAATATAGCCTATAGCCGAGACTCTATGTGTACAGATGTGACGCAAAGACGTGCTCGAATCTCCCGCAGAAATCAACCAGTACCACTGGAATTTAAAACATTATTACAAGCTTTCCTTTTGAATCGAGCTGAGGCAAGCAGATCGTTTTGAACACTGGCTGGTTATGTATTTTTTTCAAAAATGTATTTTGGATCTTTTTTTTTAACCCCCCAAAAAATCTACGGATTGCTAATGGTAACAATTAGATCATAGTCTAAAGTGGGACCTATACTTTATATACTATTATATAATAAATAAAAAAAGTTCATTTTTTTTAAGGTCGACAATTAAATTATATATTTCATTGTGCCTGTCAACCTAAAAAAGACATTTATTTATATGTAATAATTATATATAGTTATTATGATGCGGTAACTTCATCAATAACTCGTAGTTCAAAATTCTCAACTGGAGAACTGAACCTGGCTAGTGTTAAGACATCTGTTATTTTGTATACGTGACAATTGGATTTTACTCCAAATACGATATGTAAATGTTTTAATTTTTTTGCTTCCTCTACTAAATATGACTCAATTAGACATTACTACAAGAACACATGGACTCTCTCTTAATTTTTCTCTCACTCTCTCTGCATCAAGAAATGAGCCCAATTGGGAGTGACTAAAGTGTACCACTGAGTGGTTTCATGACTTAAGTTTTGATCGCAGTCTGTGTTCTCAAAAGACTGGCTGAGCTCAGATTAAAGCTGTGCATGTATAATCAAGAGACCCTATTGTTAACTGCTAAATGTCACTTCTCACAATCTTTAATGGCTGCTGCTTTCTTGAGCTTTACAAACTCTTTAAAGCAGCAGCCATGAAACTTTGGAAGACAATATATGCACAGGTGTTCCACAGGAAGTGCGGTTTTGATCATATTGTGTCTCGGTTTAGCGCTGACCTCTCCCCCAGTGGTCTTTTCCTGATGGGATTACACTGTAAGCTTTCCACTCTCGCTCTCCTTAGCAGCAGATCGCACCAGTGTAATGCGTGCACCCAGCCTCCTCCCCTCTTTCATCAAGGGATTTGCCCTCCATCCCTGCGCTATAGATTGGATTTGCTACGGTTGTTTTCCATGGAGCGAGAGGGAAAGCGGGGCAGAAAAAGCGAGAAATCGTAATTGAATTAGTTTAAAACTGTCGAAAGGTCTATTCATAGATGCGCTGACATCAATCCAGGAGTATAACCACAATGGGTGGAGGCCCATCCGAAGAGATGGCCGCAGGTTAAAAGCCTCCCTATTGATTACCTATGATGATGCTTTGCATGAGTTGGTTTTGAGCTCAGTGGTAATCTGAGGATGAGGTGCGGAGAGAAAAGGAAGCAAACGGACTGTGTGGGTTGACGTCACATAAGACGGCCTGACATATTAGAGTAACATTAAAATCAGCTCGTGTAATAGGCTCTAAGTCAGAGGGATAAAGGAAATGATCGTGCTATTGTTCCACAATATCTCACCTATCTGTCTGTCTGTATGTCTGTTCTACCTGTCTGGGGTTTTTTTTGTCACAGACTCCATGGTGATGGGGAACAATTTGGGGAAATTTTTTTGTGTTCCCAGAGAAACTTTGCAAAAGTTTGAAACACTTGCTAAAGCAATGAAATATAATAATAATAATAATATTAATATAAAAATACTTTCCCTCCCACCTCGTATTATTTAATCAATTCTTTTGAAAGCAAACACAAAGTTTTTTGGGGAAAGGCAAAAGTTTTGCTTGACAATTTATGTACAATGCATTATAATGGTATTCATAATGTACATTGTAATGCATTATATAATTTCATAAATAATTGTAACTAAAGTTAAATGCATTATAGTATTCGCACATTACATCTGACATTGGTTGTTTGTCATGTTTCTTAATGTATTATACTTTATAAAGGTGTAACAATGTATTATAATATATTATAATGGTCGTTATGATTATTCATGAGGTCATACATTAATAATGTTCATTACAAGGCGTAATTAATCCATTAAAATACTTATATAATCCATTATACATAAAGGCTTTAAATGTTACCAATAATTTTTCTTCTCATGCCATCTATTTATCTAGTTCCATGTTTACTTACCATTTTTATTATAATTGATACATTGTTTTTAATAATAATATTAATAAATAATATGAATAATAATAATAAAGTATTATTAGAACGTTTTTTGTTCGATTAGTTGAATTGAATAGTGAAGAAAAGCAGCCATCAAGTGTCCAGCAAACCTGGGAAGTCCTTCAGTACCGTTTATAAATCCTCCCAGGGTGCACCTCGAGTTGATTGTGACAGATTGTCGATTGACGGTGTGCATAGCACTACTGACCAATAAGCATCCATGACTGGAACTACAGTTTAGAATTTGTGTCATTTCATACTTTTGAGGCCTTCGCTATTATGATAAACGAGTCGTGCTCAAACTTTTGACTGGTGGTAGTAGATATATCTGTCTTCATGAAGTTGATGTTTGATTTCCATGCTTTTATTAATTGTGAAATAGCATTGCATTTCTTGACTAAGAGCACCAGATGTGCGCAGTGTGATCGAGAGGAACAGACGAGAGGGGCTCTTCCTGTCTACCAACGTGTCCAGCAGGTAAGATCTCTCCTACACCTCCCAATATATTGGACAATGAAAGACAGAGCACTAATATTGCTTTTATATTACTGCATATGAGGTCCATCTCTTATGTCAATACAAATTCAAGTGTCGTTATTTAATGTGAATGTGAATTCTTTGTGGAGTTCAGCATGCCATGAAGTATAGGAAAGTGTTTTTGGGTAAAGAGGTATTTACAGCACTTGTGTTCGGGACATATAGTGTCAATAAGTAGGCAAAAATGAGGTCGCAGGGCTCTATGTCACTTCCTGAACCCAGTTGGCCTGGTAACGAGGTATCCACAGTCCGCGGAGCGAGCGCTACGCTCTCTAACGCGCTAAGATGTATCCAGGCAGAGCGATGATGAGCCACTCTTCGTGATTGAATGCCCTCATCTAGAAAACTCAAACACACACACACACTCTCTAACACCCCTCTCTCACATTTGCCAAAACACAGCTCATCCACTGCGCACATCATCACGCAAATGCATTATCACCTAAAAAGTAATTTTGGCACTCAGTGATCTAACCACTCTCTCCCCCTCTCGTCTCCTCTCTTCTCTGTTGCTCTGCACACTTCCCCCTCCCTGTGTATTTACACTGGGCTGATGAAGTGAAAGAGTAAACGTATAATTAGCCTGCATTACTTTGATTGTTTTCTTTAGAGATTAGGCTTCCTGTCAGAGCGCGCGGTTTGAGTGGGGTGAAGGTCGCGTGTGATTGGTTGAGGGAGGGTGTGGGGGGGGTGGATTCGCTTTCTCAAGTCAGTGAATAAGCAGTGCGGACCCCCGCTGAGAGAGGAGATTGTATTTCCACAAGACGTAATTTTTGTTTACTGACTGTTAATAATGGCTAATTAATAATCAGATTTGCTTGCCTGGAAATCGGCCCTAGCACTTAAAGAAAAGAGAGAAGACAATTGCCGCCAGACAACGGCGCAAATAAAAGGAGTGTCAGGTGTGTGAAATGTCTCTGGGCGCATCATTATTATGGGGGTCTTGGATGAACGATAAATTGTGCAACAGGCTTTATGACGCAGCTATCATGCCTGGTTCTGTCCTCTTTCAGGGTGGTGAGATGGGACAATGAGGCCGACGTGTCCGCTCTGGAGGGTCGCTTTGACGTGGTGATGTGCGCTGACTGGTAGGTTGGCCCTTTTGTTGAACTGTCAGTTCTTCAGATATCCACCGTCACCTTAAACATGACACCCGTACAATCCAAAACCGATCTTTCGGTCCGAACCGCTTGATTCTGAGCAAATGAAGATATTCTGTACATCATATTCCTACAAAATAAATATCATATCTCTCACTTTACTAGCATCCCCTTAATAAAAGTGTGCACCTTGTGTCCCGGTGATGTGGCATTAATATTCCTGTGCCTGTAACGCTTATCAGATGGCAGACATCAGCTTGCGGATGGCACTGCATTATTTCCCCTCCGCCAGTTCCACCAGGCATTTCCATTTTTCAGAAATTGCCTCTTTTTCATGCTTGGCGTCCCAGCAAATGGATGTCTTAGGCAAATTGCAAATAATTATGCCTGTGCAAGGAGAGAAAGAGAGCGAGAGCGAGATTGTGGAGCAATACAAACATTTCAATTAGCCAGGCCCTGAACATGTGGAACCATTGTTTTGTTTTTTGTTTTTTTTTCCTTTATCTGTCTGTGTAAATGTGTTGTGGTGTGTGCATTACACTATTCTTTTACACTAATTTGGATGTAAATTTTACTACTACATTCAGACTTCGTTATGTAATACAAGAGAATTTAATGTTACTTGAATGGTGTATTTTTAGACAATTTGGGAAATCCAGCTTAGGAAGGCATCATGTGATCAAAAATAAACACTATTTCTTTACTATGTTAGTTTGGTTGTTAAAGGGAGGGTCTACCCAAAAATGAATTCTGTCATAATTTGCCAACTCAGTCTAATGCTCTAAACCTGGATGAATTTGTTTCTTCTATAATATATTTGTTAGTCGATACAAAGTCATTGGGTTGCAATGTTGTTTTTGAGCCCAAGAACTTATAAGAGGTCATTGATTGTACTATAAAAAATATCCTGCAAGTTTCAGAACTCAAAACTTTCTTGTTAATCCAAAAACATATGCTTCCAAAACTTCTAACTATAGGCCAAACTCTGGTAACTCCATGTACTTAAACATTATAGATAGCTGAATTTCACCAGTTGCTATTTTTCAACATCAGAACTTTTCAAAGCAATTCATTTTAATACTCATCACTGTTACTCAATCATAACAGAGTGTGGCATGCATGTCAAATTGAGTTTTTCAATGAGAGGGTCAAAACTGAATAGAAAATATCATATTTTAAATTATGATGTTTTCTTATGTTTCTAATTTTGCTAACATAAGTGGACCTCGGAGAACATTTTTAAAAACTTAGAAATGCAAATCTTCTTCAGTAGAAAGTAAGTTTAAAATGGCTTGAGAGTAACTAAATTATGACATTTTAAATTTATCCTTTAATGCATAATAATATATGTCAAATTGTGCACCAGTGATGTAATGTTTGGCAGTCTTTTATGTATTTATAGTAAATCTGCTTATCGAAATTTTAAGGGGATTTTATCGGATCACTTAATCATGTCTGATTCCCTGCTCTCATTACACAAGCTATAATAACCCTTTAATTATATACATTTTTAAATCATACACATTTTTCTTTATCAAATTTTTCTTACCACTATTATAGTTTATTACATTGTTATTACATTGTTATAGGCACAGCTCTAAACAGGATGTTCTATGGCATTGTCGCTATCTAGCACAAAGTGACCAGGCTGAATGAGGCGGGGAATAATGATACCTGTGCGTTCTCTGGCGATGATCACTAAAGCCTTGTACAGCCTACTACAGTATTATTCTAATGTCAGGCAAATGGCAGCTAATACACAGGTAAAATGTGCAGCAGAGGGCCAGCATGAGATTGATTTGTGTGTAGTAAGAAGATACTGTGTGTGTGTGTGAGAGAGAGAGAGAGAGAGAAAGTGGAAGAACGTATGTGAGGATGAATCATGCCGCGTTGGCTGTCCCCCCGTGGCTTGCGCTGGCAACTCATCTGTAATTGCCGTCGTCAAGAGAGTGATCGCTCGGCGATTAACGAACATAGCCATGCTGACGATCACCTGCGAAAAGGTCAACAGCCACACTTCTGCTCCGATTAATTATAGTCTTTCAGACAATCATCAAGAAAGGTAGGACATAATGCGGCGGCGCTCGCGCTAGAAGAAGAGAGAGAGAGAGAGAGAGACGTAGCCTCAGATATGATAGCAGAAAGTTCTTCCAAAAGACAGCCCTATGTTTCACCTCGTCTTTGTCTTCACAAGACTATGCTATTCTTGTCTGAAAACTATGTTTTAGAGCTGTGCTAAGAGTTGACAAAAGCATGAAATTAGCACCTAAGGCCCACAGCTCTTTACTTGACTTGTGCAGCTATATTTCCTCACTAATTAGTAGTCATGGTAACACTGTTATTAATAAATAATGCTTAACAGATCATTAAAGGCCCCCTGAAATCAAAATGTAATTTCTTTAGCTTTTAGTACGAATATTTTAGCTTATGAGCAGTGAATAAGCTGGCGTGTTTCAAAACAATGACATTTAGGAGATATAAGCATTCAAAACTTACACTCTCTCACTTCCGCTAAAAGGGATCACGGATTTCACCACAGACTTCAGCTTCTCATCACATCTTCTGTCCAATCAAATGCTCTCTAGAATCTAAAGTCCCGCACCCTATGATACTGTATAAATACCACCTGGCCAAAGCAACCGTTAACACGCCGTAGAGAAATATGGGTTGGAGATGTGTGTTCGCACACTGTGAGGTACACTAAACGCTATTGGCTATTTGACAAGGGGGAGGAGCCATTCAATATGTCCCGCCTTCCTGTTTCAGTGGAAATTACGTCAACGTACGTCAAGCTGCGCATTCCAAAGCACTTCAGTGGGCCTTTTAATGTATTTATTTTAATGTGTTAGTGAACATATCATTAATGTATTTAATGTGTGTAAGTGACAAGTTTATAGTGTAACCCATTTAGGTTTAGCACATTTATACATCTAGTCACTATTAACATGCACGCAGGGAGTCTGTTTTAAAGTGCTGTGGCACTCTGGAAAAACATGGTGTATCCCATCACTTAGATCCTTCGTTGGATTGGCAGTAACACCAGGTTAGGGTCAAGTATGTGAAGAAGCAGTCAGCCGTGCTCCATGATAAGTGAATCAGTCATCAGTATCCTCCACTTGATCCCTCCAGCAGTTCCCATGGCAATGGGCACATGAAACTAACAGGTGAATCTCCATACAGTATGTGTGAGAGGTTCTCTTTGGCCCCTTAGGTAAAAACGTAATCATGTCTGTTCCCTTTACTTGATGACATTTAAATACAGTAATATGTGTGTGGACATGAGGGGAAACTTTTTTGAAACATTGCTGTCTATGCAACGCCAGTCGTTATGTTTTGTGACCTCCCACAGCAACTGAACCGAAATTGAGAGCGCATGTTTTTTAGTGGTCCCTGGTTTATTCTTAGACTGCTTTAGATACACACACGGAACATGGAAGGGCTACACAAACACACACACGGTGTGAATTCCTGCAGCAGTCTCATTGCTGCGAGAGAGCTGATCTCGGCTTCCTCTAAGCTTCCTGTGTGTGCGTGGATTTTGTTCATTTTTTTAGTTTTTAAGTTACTGTATTTATTCTTTTCTTCTTTTTTAAGAAATGGTGCGCTAGTGAAAGAAAGAGTGACTTACATCTGTGTATTTTAAGAGCACCTAAATATAAAGTTACACTTTAATATAAAAAAAAAGCACTTAAATGTGACCGGTCAATCATTTTTTCAGTTACCCCGAAAAGCTTTAATTTGCCAATTTTTTAGATGTAGTTTAAATTGACCACATCATTCAAAGCATTTCAATTTTGAGTTCTGTGTAGTTTGTGATTTTTAGGTTTGAAGCTTTTCTGTCAGTAAATTTCAGTCAGCTGAATTAATAGTTTACATTTTTGAGACGCTTGTCAAAAATTAAGATTTATTTCTTTGTTTATTCGTTTTTTTATTTACGTATAATAATACCCATTCTTTGATATGTGTTTTAGTGCCCTAGTGTCACAGTTTTAGTTTAGTTTTAGACAGACAGACAGACAGACAGACAGACAGACAGACAGACAGACAGACAGACAGACAGACAGACAGACAGACAGACAGACAGACAGACAGACAGACAGACAGACAGACAGACAGACAGACAGACAGACAGACAGATAGATAGATAGATAGATAGATAGATAGATAGATAGATAGATAGATAGATAGATAGATAGATAGATAGATGGACAAATAGATAGATGGACAAATAGATAGATGGACAGATAGATAGATGGACAGATGAAAGACAGTCTCTTCGTTTCTATTCGTATATTGCTGATTACTCTATAATCAGCAATAATGTCAATCATAAGCTCCTATATGATGGTATAATTTTTATGATTCATTTATCTGCCTTCAAGGAATCACTTGAGGTTTCATTGTGGGGATTAAGTTAATGCACTCTGGATTAGGTCAGATAAAGTATTAAAATTGGGTCAGAGTGGCAACCTATTCATATTGTAATCTTACTACTGCCACCTTCAGATTAACACGATCAAAAATATTTCAAGTCCTAATTACTAAGCATGTTTGCTATGTATGGTTTTGTTTAGAGTCCTCTACTTCTGTAATATGCTACCACACTTCTATTTATAGCATTTTGAATGCACTGTTCACACGGGTTAGGCAAGAGAGAGGGATTTGAATGTCAGTTAGCCACTGTTTTAGATGACGACATAACACCAACAAGCAAATCTTGTGGCTCAAGGGCATGGCTCTGATTACTGCAGGTGCTGTCGCAGATGGTCATTAGCTTTTAATAAACAGAAAATGCTTTTTATAAAAGGAGAACGAATGAGAAGCAAGTTTTACACCACTGACAGGTCAATATACGGAAGTAAAGGAGGAAGTACTATTGGTGAAGTCGAAAGGGTTTTGTTTGACGTACCCTGTCAAGGCCGATGTAGCCAGTCGGACATTCCTGCACTCTCGCCCCTAAACTCGCCCTCTATTGTCCGGACTGACCTACTCAACCCAAAACACAGGGTCAAAAGTTGAACTGCTAATGAAACGCTCCGAGCCATCACACTCGTGACCGCTAGACGTGGCAGGTGAGATCACACAAATATGGTTTAATCAACATAACTCTGACCTTTGACCCCTAGCAAAGGAGAACAGTGTTTTTAGCAGGGTCAGATGTGAATGGACTCTTTTGCTAGTAAAAAGTTCATTGCTAAAGTCAGTCTGGAACTCCTTTTGCTTTTGGAAAAATAGTTGTTGAGGACTGTGGTATTTGGGGGGGTATAGGAAATTTAGGAATTTCAATAAACTTATCAAACGTGACAGTCAAGACATTTGTATATTACAAAATAATTTTACTAAAAATTGTGTTTGTTTAAATGTCTAGTCATCAAAGAATCCTGAAAACAATGTATTACGCTTTCCACAATAATATTAAGCAGCACAACTGTTTTCAACATTGATAATAAGAGGTATCGGACCATAAATAACTGTGTGTGTGTGGCAATATCCAAAAGCCTTGTTCTTGTGGGGAAAATGTATTATAAAGCTTATAAATCATATAAGTGATGTATTTGAAAATGTAAAAATGCAGAAAGTGTTCTGTGATGGGTAGGTAGGTAGTGTAAGGGGATAGAATATGCAGTTTATATAGTATAAAAATCATTTTGTCTATGGAAAGTCCCCATAAAACATAAAACTAAACCTTTGTGCATGCGCCTATATATATATATATATATATATACTGTATATACACACTCTGATATAAGGTGTATTTTTATTTTATTATTTTTTATGTGCAAATATTTGTTTTAACACACACATAGACATATTATTTTGGATTATGTGAACACCACCTGATACTTCCCTGATCATTCAGCTCTGCTAGCGTGTGTGTTTTACATTTGATTTGAATGCTGTCACACCACTCAAACAAGATTTGTTCACATCGGTGGGAAAAAGAGAATCTGCATCTACAAATAGTTTTTTCCCCACCATGCTGGAGGATTTATTCTCAAACAATGAAAATAAATAACCTGCTGCTTTATCTGGAACCATTATCATTGCAATGCATTCTAATCTTTCTAGTTTCTCTGTCTTTCTCTTTTTCTCTTAGTCTATTTCTTGACCAGTACAGAGGCAGTCTGGTTGATGCACTAAGAAGATTACTGCGACCTGATGTAAGTGTGTGTGTGTGGACTCTCAGTAATTAGTTGGCATGCAGTGATTGAGCGAGTAATGGAATGGCAGGATTAATATCATGTAATACTTTAATACTTATTATGTGCAACTTAGATTGGGTCATCTCATCTATTTTATGCTCTGCACTAATCATAAGACCCACAAGTCCTCTTTCATGCCCCCTTGATATAAGACCCTGTACAGCAAATGAAAAACACTTCAATGATAACAATGGATTTGTATTTATCTTTAAGGTTTTTCATGTGTCCACTTTGATATTTGATGTCTTGTTGAGTGTGTGTGTGAGAGAGAGAGAAAGTGTATGTGAAGTAAGGCCAAGAAAATAATTATATTTGGGTGTTTTCAACTAATCTCCCTTAAAACAATTTATTTAATTTGTTGTTTATTTAATTTGTTTACTGTCAAAAATTGGACAAGCATGCATCATGCATTCAATTCTGTCATTTCCACCACAACTCAAATTAACAGTAATTTTCTAAAGTAAGTTCATAAAGTAATTAATAATACTTAATAAAACAGTAATTTTTTTTAAAAAGAATAATAATATGAAATAGGTTTTGTTTTCACATTTGATATTTTACATGTTCTGATTACTTTTCTCTGTTTAGCTTGTCAGTAAAAAAAAATATTTATTTATTTATTAAAAATTCTAATATTTTTGGGTTTAAAAAATATTTTTAGAATTTGGAGGCTTTCGTATTTTAAGGTTTAAAGTTTGTAACATAATCCATACAGACAAATCCTTTAAAAAGTAACAGCTATAAATGATGAAGGCATAGTAAAACTTTCCAAAAACATGTTTTAATGTGAAATCCATAACAAACAGAATAAAAGATGAAACGTGTTAATAATTGTTAAAACTTTCTTAATAATATGCAGATTTCCCTAGTCCTATTGCAGAGATTACAATGTAGGGGTGAAACAGATTTATTATTGTGAATTTTTTTCCCCATAGCACTGCTGACCAAATGTTTGAGCCGATTTATTGAAACCAATTAATCTCCCTCCTAATGACTCTAATTTGTTATTCTAAACACCAGTGGACCATCCGGACAGCATACACAGCTGATTAACACATCTGTAAATATGTGGGTTTGTGTATGTGTGTGCTTTGGGCGTACAACCCGTGTAGAGCTTATGAAAAAAATGAAAACATCTGTTGTATTGAGATGATCCCGTTCTCATATTAGTTGTTGTTTGTTTCATTTGTGTTGGTGCCCATTTAATTAAAGCAATATTATGAACAAAATATTAAATAATATTTCAAACCGAAGGATTTCAAAGAAACTTTGAACCTTTGGGTAATCCTCTTAGCTTGCCTGGTTGGTCTGGGCTTGTTGATCTATAAAGAGAGGGGATGCGCTTCCAGCCATTGATTGGATTAAGTGAGCTTTAATCTTTTTGTTTATTATCTAATATAATACCTGGGAGAAATCAAATAGAATGTAATGATGCAAACCACCACGTACACTGTGTGGGCTTTGAGATGCAGTGGGGACGAGCTGGACCGGATGAAGAATAGAGCTCAGCCCCCTGCACTAAAATCTTAACAGAGTCTACCGCACATTGTTATTTGAGGGATTAAAATCAAACTGCTAAAATTTTCCAAACAGAAAACAATCATACTACCTAACACCGCCTCCCACTGTTTTATCAAACAGACGGCTTTGCCCCAAAGTCAACACTGGTTGACTCAAAAATTGACTAGTCAGACCGTTCATACAAACAAAGCAGTGTTTTAGGGTGTGTTCACACTTAGCGGTTCGTTTAAAACGAATTAGCAGTTGCTCTACTTGTGTGTTTCATTTGAATAAGTGAACAAGCAGACCGAGACCCCTGAGCATATTGGGTTTCCCCTGAGCATGTTGGGTGTCCACTTCCAAATGAACTTTGGCACTGTTTGACTGAAATACAAACACACGAAAGACCAAAGACATCTAAATGAAGCAAAACCAGGACATGATGTCACAAGATGCGACCCTAAAAAGGACAGAATGCTCATGTACACCTGTTTTTTCTCATCATATAAGCTACATTTCCATTCCAGTTTGGTACAGGCATTTGAAAATTCCATCTCCTTGAAGCAGACTTTCGTATGTGTGCAGCGCAAGAATTCCTGCCACTGTTTTGGCTCCTTTATATATTTTATTAACTTCATGAGTTCTCATCATACATGAACGCACATACAACGTTTTGGATGTCCGGGAAGTTCTGTTGCAAAATATACGTTATAAAGCCTTTTTTATTTGTTTGTTTGGTCTCTTTAGGTTCAGTTTTAAAAATGACGTTGTGAACGCTTAGCGAACCATGAATAAATGTATAATTTTCTTTTTTGGTCCAGACAAAAAGAACCGAGAGAACCAAACTAGAAGTGTAAACACACCCTTAAAGCCCCAAAGAGTTGTTTCTGCACATTCAAACAGAACAGGAGTATTTTAAAAGTGAATATTTTTATGATAATAGTCATTGTTAGTAGTATTAGAGATATTTGTACTAGGAATAGGAATGTCTAGGAATCACTCATCTGTAAGGTAGTGTCAGTATTTGGGTAATTTGATGTGGTCGTGTAACATGCATTATCATTTACTTTTACTTGTATTGGATGTTTGTTACCTTGATTTTGCCAAGTCTGCCATATTTTGTTGATCCTGAGACAACAGTCCACTCCTTTTAGAAAATGTAGCCCTATAACCCTACCTATTACATATTCTGAAATTCAGAGGTAAATGATAGGTGAATAACACTTATGTAGAAGCACCTAACCCTGGATGTAAACCTAAACTTGACATAAACTGTCAAATTGTCCCTCAAATCTGAGTGGTTGATTAGAATGGATCAACAAAGATGTTGCACTTGATGAAATTACATTCACCATTGGATGTCAGCAGATGCACTATTTGTGAAATACTAGTAAAGTATCTCTACACGTTTGTGATTTGTCTCTCTAGGGCACCGCTCTTGTATTTGCCCCTACCAGAGGAGACACACTGGCAGAATTCTGCAGACTGGGAGAGAGCGCAGGCCTCAGAGTGTGTCGCTATGACAACTATGACTCACACTTGTGGGACCTTCACCTAAAGGTGTGTGCAGTATGTGGCCTTATTGTATATGTGAGTGCGTGTTAAGTGTTTTAAAGTGTTAAAAAGTTGTGAAACAAAGTATGAAGTTTTTCTGCATTTGCCACCGCCTTTGTCCGTGAAGTACATTTGTATTTTGAACGTTTCATTGAAGTACAGCTATGTCAGCAGGAACAGTAACAGGGAGTCTGTAGCTTAAGCTCAAAATGGACTCTTAAAAGTCAAAAGCTGTCGTTCTTTGAAGCCCCAAATGAATAGGGCATGGTGCTACTTCTTTCCCTCTGCCTGAAAGCACAAATGCCATTCTTAGGTCAAAGCAGCAGTGCCATCCAGCTGGTTAACTTGCACCGATAACACAGCCACGGCTGCCATTTTTGGTTACCAAAGAAGCTGTGCGGACCTATTATGCCCCACAGGCCGAACAGTGGTGGCCCTGCCTATGCCTGAGGCATAAATGGGCCTGTCAGCAGGACTCAAGAGCTGAGTGATTGGAACTTTACTTCTGTAGTGATGGACATAGCTAGGCAGAAAAACTCTTTGGGGTCGTTGTGTCTACCGAGGAAAGACTGGTTGAATTTAGAGACATCAATTGAATGGGGAGGAGGAGAGAGAGGAAGAGAGAGAATCAGAAATGCAGAGTTGTGTTGTGTGTGTGTGTGAACAAACCTAATACAGTAACTGAAGTGGAAAGTTTTACGCCTGTACACAAAGTCAGTAACAAATAGGGCTTTTGTACTGTGATTTTTCGCAGGTGTTTTACCTGGAATTTAAATTGCACATTGCATTGTGTTTTGGAAAGAAATATCTCAAACCGTTTGAATAATGTTCTGACAGAAAATTACCAGTATCATTTTCACTTGTCTTGTGTACAGTAGTTCTTAATCAGAGTCAAGCGAAACAATTGTCAAACATTGTGATGCCAAAAAAAGCATATCAACCAATTACGTATACCTTTGCTACATACATCAATAGAAATAGTAAATTCTATCAGTAAAACAGCAGAAATAGTAAAGTTCCTGAAAAAGGTGCTAACAGAATGCATATTTGAATTAGAATAAGTCATTTTAAATGTGATCGCAGCATTACAGACAGTTTTCTTTGCATCTGTTGCAAATGTCACCTATTAATGTTAATGTCACCTTAATTTATGTCCTACTTTATTTATTTTTTTAAGTTAAAGGAGTAGTTCACTTTTAAAAAAACTTTTGCTGATAATTTACTCACCCCCATGTCATCCAAGAGCCTTTCTTTCTTCAGTCGAAAAGAAATTAAGGTTTTTGATGAAAACATTCCAGCGTGTTTCTTCATATAATGCACTTTACTGGGAACCAAACGGTTCAAGGTCCAAAGACACTTTCAGTGCAAACTGTTCAAAGGGCTTTAAACGATTCCAGACGATGAATAAGGGTCTTATCAAGCGAAATGATCGCTCATTTAATAAATAAATAACAAAGTTTAAGTTCTATACGCTCAAATGCTCACCTTGCTCTGTTCTGTGATGCACGTTCGTGACTCTCCTGTCTGAACTCGTTCATCTAAATGATGAATCTTTTTCCGAGTCAATTCGAATGAATGAACCAAACGACTCAGAAAAAAGATTTGTTCATTTTGATGAACGAGGTCGAACAGGAGAGTCACAAACGTGTGTCACAGAACAGAGCAATGCAAGCATTTGAGCTTATGAAACTTATGCTTTGTTATTTATTTATTAAATGAGCGATCGTTTCGCTTGATAAAACCCTTATTCATCGTCTGGAATCATTTAAAGCCCTTTGAACAGTTTGCACTGAAAGTGTCTGTTGGACCTTGAACCGTTTGGTTCCCAGTGAAGTCCATTGTGGAGAAAAATCCTGGAATGTTTTCATCAAAAACATTAATTTCTTTTCGACTGAAGTAAAAAAGACATGGACATCTTGGATGACATGGGGGTGAGTAAATTATCAGCAAAAGTTTTTTTTTAAAAGTGAACTACTCCTTTAACTAATTTTTTGGACCAAGATAGAACAACTTAACTTAAACTGAACTTCCTTATGAATACTTTTGAATCCAGTTTCCTGTAGATTTCAATTCAGCATCCTGTAGGGAGTGGCCGACTCAATTCCAATTCACACTCATAAACTGATGGGGATCCCATTCTTAAAATTCTGAATTTTACCCAACCCCTGTTAAACGTCACAAAAGAGTTAAATGAACGAGCTGTGATTTTATTTTCAGCCAACTCTCTCTGCCTGTGAACCACTGCAGGTTTGCAGAGAGGCCATGCGGTGGACGTCTTCAGCAAAACGTGTGAAATCGCACCTTTAAGTATTGTAAAAAGATGAGTAAAAGCGGTGTCACCCTTGCTCATTTGCACACACACACAACTAGCTAATGCAGTCAGCTTGTCATTGTGTTTCCCCGATGCACCTGAAGTCTAACGGGATCATTTTGAGCCAGACCACCTACTGTGTTTCTGTGCGGATAATGACATGAGCAGCGAGGGGCCAAGATAGCTGAGTCAAGAGTCCCCCTGTTCGCGTCTTTACTCTCGGTTTGTCGTCAGTTCACGCAGCTGTGTGTGTGATATGAGGGGCGAGCTGAAGTGCCCTCATCATATCTCAAAGTGATTAATTCCTCTTTCTTATCTTCTGATGAACACCCTGCCCCCTGCGAGTGTGCGTCGGGTGAGAAACGTACGGAGAGAAGTGCACAAAGAAACGCACGGCAGACAATGGATCACATGCCCCACCTCCTTCAGAATCCCAAATCACAGCGCTCCATTATAGCAGCGTCGGCGGGCCCCTCCCGGACTGACACGTACTCTCGTCTGTCGCTTCTCACCTCCAGCCAGCCTCTGATGTCTTGGAGATTGAAGTGTTTCCTTTAAGACCCTAAATCTCCTCCCTCCCTCCCGTGTGCGCAGGCCGGGCCGGCCGCGGATGGGGCTCTCAGCGGTGTGGGGACGTGGCGAGGGGGCTGTGTGTTATCCTCTTATCCCCACTGTTCTGGAATAGAGCACCAGCAGCTGGAGGACTGCAAGCCGCCTGATAATGCAACTATTTTCGACTCGGCCATCTTAATCTTGTTACTCAAATGGTTGTGAAGGGAGTCATGAATTTTAATTCAGACATCCCCCGTTCACACCCACACATATACATACACATATTAACTTAATCTCTCTACATCCTCCCCAACTTCCAGCTGTCTGTCTGGCCGTATCTGCTCTCTTGCGCGCTCAACACCCAAATCTATCCATTTCTGGAGCCTGTAGAGCGAGCATCCGGTTTGTCCGTTTCATCCCGTGCTTTCTAAAGAACGCCTCTCGCTCTCCTTGTTGCGGAAAGCGGGCTGAGGGGGAAAGAGGAGAGGGAGGGAAAAGCAGCAATAAAATAAATGACTTGCATCTTGGCAGCCGCGCGATTAAAAAGTAGGAGCCGATTTATCCAGCCACCCATGAAGCTGATTAGCAGCCTGTGATCAGGAGGAACAGCTTTGCTTGTTAAACTTTTCACCTTTGCAAGCTCGCTGCCTTTTTCCCCTTCCTCTCTCTCTCTCTCTCTTTCTCGCTTTCTAAGCTTCTTTGCTATATCACTCTCTAACGCTTTTATTGCTCCCTCTCTCTCTCGCTCGCTCTCTCATTCACTCACTCACACTCTCTCTCTTTCTGTTTCTCAATCCTAACTTCCATGTTGCTGTGTTACAATTCACAGGGTCCCCACAGTGATTCAGAAAAGGGGAAATCTGTAGACAACAATATCGCAATGACAACAAACACGAACAACAGTATATATGCTCTTTCCATAAAAATGTTAAGCAGCATTGTTTCAATTGTTTTCAACATTGCTGATAATAAGACATTTCTTGAGCAGCAAATCAGCATATTAGAATGATTTACATTTATTCATTTAGCTGACACTTTTATCCAAAGTGAATTTACAATTGCTATATATTGGTGTCGCACCGTGGATTCGAACCTGGGTCTCTCACACCAAAGGCATGTGTCTTACCCACTGCGCCATCACCACCCTTTCTGAAGGATCATGTGACTCTGAAGACCGATTGAAAAAATTAGAATTTAAAATGTGTTTACAGTTATTTTAAATTTTAATAATCTTTCACAATAAATGCAGCCTTGGTGAGCATAAGAGACTTCTTTAAAAACAGTTTAAAAAATCTTACCGACCCCAAACTTTTGAACGGTGGAGTGTGTACTATTGTGTGATATTTACTCATAATAATAGCATTTAATGCCCTTTCTTTATACCTCCAACTGTGTAAAAGCCTATGGTGAATTAAAGGGATAGTTCACCCACAAATGAAAAATCTGTCATCATTATTTACTTACCCCTATGTTGTAATAAACCTCTATGAGTTTCTTTCTTCTGCTGAACACAAATGAAGATATTTTTGAAGAATGATGCTTCGATAGTCGGGGAAAAAAAAGTAGATTGCTACTGTCTGGATACCAACATTCTTCAAAATATCATCTTTTATGGTCAACAGAAGAAAGAAACTCATACAGGTTTAGAACAACATAGGGGTAAGTAAGTACCATTAAATGATGACAATTTTTATTTTTGGGTAACCTATCCCTTTAAGCTCAATAAAAACTCCTTTTCACATTTCATATAGAACTAAGAATGTGTGCAATGACTGATGGGTAAATTTCCCTCTCCAAATCATGTGATATATCAATGTGCACTTGTTCCCATTACTGTTTGCAGTGTTTCCCTTTGGACTAAACATATGGTTTGAAGTCTACTTTGCAGGTGATTTGAACACACCCCTCTCTTGCACAGCACACTCACTTGTCTGGCTTGGTGTGAATGTGTTGGTCTTCGCATTGGGCTTAGTGTTGGTCGGCTGGCTGCCCCGATTACAGAGAGGTCGCGGGTTCAAACATTGGCTGCTGTGTCGAGGGGTGGAGAGAGAGATAACGCACATGAAGGGCAAGAGAGCGGCCTTTCATCTGTTTTTATTTTATCTCGAGCCACAGAGAGGATGAGGCGAATGTTAGAGTAAGACAGAAAGAGAGAGTGTGTCCACGTGGGAATATCCAAGTGGTGTTAATACAGATTTTACGTTCATTTGTAATGGTTTATTCTCTGCTTGTAGCCAATGGAGAACATTTAGATACTTCTCAGTAATACTGTTTATAACATTCCCAGCTTGAAATAGCCTTTTAATTTCACATGGCAATGATATGAGACGACGGATGGATTGGTGTGTCCTTTATATAAGAATACCCCACAAATATATTTACAAAGTTGTGGTAGTGATTGTGTATGTGACCTCTGCGCTTCTCCAGCACATTTTAGTCGCTCTGAAAAGTATACATGCACGTCAGCTGTGCTTGCTGTTTGGAGTGGTCTTATTTTCATAAATGAACTGCATATTTGTATTTCTAAGTGCTGTCGGAGTGTCTGATTGTTTGGGACAGGGCAGTGCCCCGGGGCAGAAGAGACTGGCAGCGCACTGAGTGTACTGCCACAACTCTAGAGTTCAGATGCTGGCAGAAAGGCAGACCCACAGGGCAGATTGTTCAGCAAGAGCTGCCTGACATTCACTTTGCAGGCGCCTCTACTCTAAGCGGCCATTATGGAGCAGCTAGTGGGAATCTTGCCGCTTGTCCTTGTTTGTTAAATGGAGTTCTAGCAGAGCATATCTGAAGAGTGAAGGGCATATCCCAGAAACTCTTTTTAAAATGAAATAAAATGTTCTTCTAATGTGTCAGAACATTTATGAAAGCAGTAGAGTAGGTTTTTTTTGAACATTTGTGTTGACACACAACAAACCCAATCAACCTAGATCTTTACTATTTAATTTTTTTAAGTATTTAAATATATATATATATTCAAAATATATTTTAAATATTAATATAACTATTTAAAAAGTATATTTTTAAAAATTCTTATCAATCATTTAATTAATAATTTTTTATGGGTTTTGGATAATGAAATTATCATGAATTATTTGGGGTATCAGTGTTATAATGCTGAAATAAAATAAAATATAAATATTAGATAATCTTATCTTAACCCTAACTTTTTCAGTTAGTTGCCAAGACATTCTTTTGAATTAAACTTTTTAGGTTGAATTGCTCAAATTTAAATGGACTTAAAAGTAAATAGAATATTTTTTAACTAATAAACATGACAAAAGCACAACTAACATTAATTAAAAATTACAAAAAATTCAAATTAAAATATAAAAAATAAAAGCTCATTCAAAGTATTAATAAATACTATAATATTAAATATACAATACTGAAATAACACAGTTGGATAGTCGCACCACATGACACTGTTCTGCCTGAACTAACCTTGTGATTAAAACGTCAAAATATCTGATCATTTTAAGAGACATTGAATTATAGCATCGTCATGAAGGTCATATCACTTCCTGTTTTTTCTGCATGTTTTTGCATGTAGGTCACGCCTCATGATTTTGCTACTAAACTAATTAATAAGCTTTTGTTTTCAGGAATTTTCTAATTTGAGGCATTTAATAATTTATGAATGATATCAGATCTGTCCTGATATCATGAAAATGCCTCATTTAAAGAATCACTGACACCTGGCAAAAAAAAGATTTTTAATTCAGAAATTTAAAAAAAATGCTTGTCATTTAGTTGTGTTTTCAAGTCACTGTATGTGTAAATTAGTAATTATCTTTTTTTAATGAATGAATAGACTGTCATGTCATTGGCCCAGATATTTATATAGTACTATTATTTCAGATGTTTATATAAATACTATGAAACAATCCAAACATGTGCGTTATTGATTCAATAATGTCACGTTTACCGCCTTTTTCCCAACTTCCTAAACATTTACATCTTGTTTTTCAGATGCAGAGAGAGGGAAAGGAGGTGTACGATGAAAACATCCACTATCCTCTTCTCCTCACTCTCACTCACGGGTCCAGTCCAGCCCTGATCTGATCTGATCTGAGCTGGGCAATGCCATCTCATGCCAGGCTGCCTTTCTGTACCCCGGCTTTGCCACTGTGTCCTCACCTCCTGTGCGTGTGCGCACACTCCTTATCACACTCCTCAAATACCTTTTTTAACAACCACGTGTGTGTGTGTGTGCTTTGAAAAGAAACTGTGTAGATGAGTTGCCATGTGTGCGTGTGCTTGACCTGTTTACTGTGCAATAACAGTGTGAAATGTGTTAAATGGGAATGGAGAACACATCCCTCCCTCTCGTCCTACAGACACTGCGGATGTGACGCTCGTTCGATGCCTGTGAGTATGCGTGATATGATATCAGAGATGATGTTTCAGGGCAGAACATTTCGAATTTCTGAATTCCACTCTGGAGGCTGATACAACTAATCAGGTTTGCAGGACTATCTTCGCCTCTTCACAAAGACGTAAATGAGGCCGTAGGGGCGTCTCGATCATGAGATCTTGTTATCATGATGACACCAGTTCATCGTTAGCTACCGATTCGGTACACTCGAAGCTTCATTCTGACACCAAAGGTTATGAAGGGTTGAGATGGATGCTGCTGCGGTGAATGTTATTTTCTTCACTGTGAAATGCTCTCACTTGGCATTTTTTTTATCGAAGAACTGACAAGATATGACAGATTAGGCCAGACTGAGACTGACGTGATATCTTGACAGCGTCACACGACCACCGGTAAGACCTGCAGCAGTGTTCTCCTCTGAGTCCTGTATGATTCGAGAGCACTCAGTGTGCACGCTAGACTAATGGCCTCATTAAAGAGATGATTTCCCTGTTTACTCACTCACCCTCATGTCTTTTGAAATCCGTTTTATTTTATTCTAACTTTAGTTAGAATGATAAATGGGTTATTTAAAGCAGAATGTCCAAACTGCTCTTTTCCATAGAATAAAGGTGAATGGTGACCATGACTGTCAAGCAATTTTCAATTTCAGACTTTTCTGCACACAACGGCTTAAGGGGACTTTGGAAAATAGCTTGAAAGTTTTGTGATGTTTTTATGGTGCCTTTTTTTGTCAGCCTCTGTTCACCATCATTCATTGTATGGGGAAACGTTCTACTAAATTTGTTTATGATGTGAATGAAAATAATACAGCTTTGGAATGAGGGAAATGAGACATGAGGGGATTGAAAATTTTGAGTGAACTATACCTTTAAATCAAAATTTTCTTAATGGATACAATTAGTAGAAGACGACAGTTGTTCTTGAATACGAAAGTTATGTTTTGGTATATGAAGAGTTCAGATGCAAAAGCCTCTAAGTGCCATTTGAAATTTTCTTCTAAAATGATCATTTTTATCGAGCTTGTATATTTAAGTTCAGTAATTTCACTTAAATGGCAATGAACATTACCTATTAATTGTCATTTAAGTGAAATTACTGAACTTAAATATACAAGCTTGATAAAAATGGTCATTTTAGAAGAAAATTTCAAATGGCATTTAGAGGCTTTTGCATCTGAACTCTTCATATATAAATCTGTTGGTTGATTTTATATAAATTTTTTCTGACACAGGGCTTTCCTATAACCCTTTTATCCTCCACTTTTTTCTGTTGGTGGTGAGCTGGTGACGCCTCATTCGGAGCTCTTTGGTCGGTTGTGAATTGTTCAGGGCTGTGTGCTTCTGCACTGTGATTACATTTGTACAAAACACAGACGAGTCCAAAGTGATTGTTTCTCGCTGACACTGCAGGTGCTTGTAAGGACTGTGATTAAATCATTGTTTTGAATCCTCCTGTGTTCTGGTCAATTTTTTTTTGTATCACTGAATAATTGATTTGTTGTGTGAAGTCTCATGGTTATAATAATTAATGCCCACATTTTGTTATTGTATTCAATGCATTAATTGTACAAATTAATTATTCTAATTGTTTTTTTTTTTTTGGTCAAATGTTTGAGGCCAGAAGTCTGTGGGTGTGTGTGTTCCTTTAAAACCTGGAAATTAGTTTTAGGATTTAGAAGTTAAAGGAATAGTTTACATTGAAATGAATTTTTGATATGTTTTAGCTTACCTCAAGGGCATCCAAGATGTAGGTGTGTTTGTTTCCACATTATTTTCAATTTTGATATTTTTAGGTCAAACCGTTGTTGTCTGTCAGTCATATAATGCAGGTATATGGGGATCTCCTCAAAGAGCATGCACAGAGAAGTCCAAATTAAACATGATTTAATGACTCCTAAATGTAAGTAGACATTGATGGCCTAAGACACGAAACGAGCAGTTTGTGTGAGAAAACGAACAGTATTTATATAATTTTTACCTCTTGTGATCACAGCCACGTCCAACTGATCTGAAGGCACGGGCGCTTCGGTTTGCGCATGTGCCGGAAGTGATCGCTTGCGCGTGTACGTCACTCATTGATTACACAGAGATTTCGGAAGTTTTACCTTTCACTGTGAAGATCTAAACATATTTAGATATATCGAAATCGTCTTCTATTGCAATTTCCTGTATATCTAAATATGTTTCCTTTTGTATTAAAGGGATTTCTTGCAAAGACCTATCATTTTGAAGACCTCAATGTATCGCCATGAGCCGCGGGTATTCATTTTTACCTGTTACCTGTATACGTTTCTTTGAGTCTCAAAGTTATTGAAGCCATTGACTTGCATCCTATAAATCACCAAGGACCAAGGTTTCCAGCTAAAAATCTGTCTTACTATTCAACTGAAGAAAACAAAAAACATCTTGATGGCTTGAGGGTGAGTAAATTAACAGCACATTTTTATTTTTAAGTGATCTATCCCTTTAAGTTAGCATTTCCACTGGTGGTCTCACTTTTGCACCTGACTGTATGTCCTGCAGAGTCTCTGTACTGGTGGATGGCCTCACATGTGCCTAAGCTCACAGTTTGACTGTCACTCAGGCCTCTTCATTTCCCATGCTCTGATAGCCAACTGAAGCTCAGCTGTAGAGTCGCTATGCAGCTAATCCTGTCAGTCAGTCTATGGAAAAAAAGAGAGAGGGGAGAGGAGGAGGAGGGGTAAAAAGGAACCCAACTCTGTCTTTTGAGATTTGAAAGAGGTCCGTTGTCCCCTCCCTCTGTCCCAGTAGAGGGAGAGAGCTCCCTGTTCACTACAAGGGCTCCATTAACTTGACCACTTGCCCTTTGCACACAAAGCCTGGGCCGGCCCACTGTCCCTCCCACCCAATTATGTGCGATTAAGCTCAGTGTGCTGTGTCAAGATGCAGAGGGACAGAGAGAGAGTCCAGATACTCTGTAAATGGAGTGAGAGAGTGAAAAATAGGAAAAGGGTAGTTATTAAAAGGCACTGCATGCCTGTAACCTGTAGTTTGGCTTATTGTCAGTCTAAAGTACATTGTTTGCTGTTGTGTAGTGCTTTATAGGAACCACATTTACATATTTTAGAGTAAGATATTGGTTGTATATGAAAATGATTGGAAGTTCTAAAATGAAAATGATTGGAAGAAAATGATGGTAACATTTTATGGTTATTTGGTTAACATTAGTTAATGTATTCGGGCATCATGAACTAGCATTACTCTTGAAGCATATACATTTTTAACATTTCAAGTTGTAAAAATTAACAATGTAGGCCTATTATGAAGAAGCATGAATTAACGATTAACAATAGTATATTTATAAATTAAGTCATCTAGATTCATAAAGAATAAATTCTGTAAACGTTCTTTGTTTTTGGTTTATGATACCTATGTATCAACTGATGTTAACAAATTGTATTTTACTGTGAGGTGTTACCAAAATTATAATTTTATTCTTTAAAATGTATTTAATGTTAAAAAAAAAAAGTGAGCTAAATTCTAATATCACAATATTATAATATACTTGGCAGGCTGCAACTACTCATAAGATTATTGCAAGAATTTTAAAATGTGATATTTAAAAGATCTTATACTGTTTTATGAATGTTTATCATCAATTTTATTAAAGGGATAGTTCACTTTGTTCACTTACCTCAAGGGCATCCAAGATGTAGGTGTCTTTGTTTCCACAGTATTTTCAATTTTGATATTTTTAGGTCGATACGTTCTTGTCTGTCAGTCATATAATGGAGGTTTATGGGGTTCACCCTTGGTCCACCTGCACAGAGAAGTCCAAATTAAACATGATTTAATGACTCGTAAATGTAAGTACACATTGATGGCCTACGACACGATACGAGCGGTTTGTGTGAAAAAACGAACAGATTTATATCGTTTTTACCTCTTGTAACCACAGTCACGTCCAAGTGATCTGAAGGCACGGGCGCTTCTCTCGCGCATTTACGTCACTCGTTGAGTTTACACGAGAGAATTCGGATTTTACAAACATATTTAGATATACAGGAAATCGCAATGGAAAACGATTTCGATATTTAGATCTTCACAGTGAAAGGTAAAACTTCCGAAATATCTGTGTAAACACAATGAGTGACGGTTCGACCTAAAAATATCAAAATTGAAAATACTGTGGAAACAAAGACACTGCATCTTGGATGCCCTAGAGGTAAGCTAAAACATCAAAAAATAATTTCAAAGTGAACTATCCCTTTAATGTAATAGTAAATAATTCTGACATATTTCATATTACCCATATAAATGACAAACATATATAACAATTGTTTTGTGGCGCTATAGCGTGAGGGCACATGAGGGAATGTTTTTGAAGAATAAAATATGATCATTTTTAGTTCTGAAACGGGATAGTAATTGATTAGTTTGATTTGGTGTCCCTTCCTAAAACAAGTTTTTTACACAAACTCAGATAGAGATGCCATGCTGTTGTTGAATGGATCATCCTCGATTGGTTGTGCCAGTCTCCCTGAGGCAGGATGGCAGCGTCGAGGGAAAAGCAGGTGAACTGTTCAGGTGAGCATGTTTTCTCATCTTACCAAGGATGGATTATGGCTCGGACCTGAGTGCCAGGGGCCTTGTGCTGCGGGGGCCACTCTGGCCTGACACCCTGAAACAAGCCCCGGCAAATGGAACAGTGAATTAGTAAAAGAAAAATCACAAAATTAAATCATCCAATAAATACAAAATGGCTAAGAGTAAACAACAAACTTTAAAAAAAAAAAATACAATTGTATTCGCTAAAAAAATACAAAGTTTCAGTTTAGGCTGAACATTGCATTATTTAAAAAAATTAAATAAAGTAGCAACATTTTTTCTTCTGTATTGTGACATACATCTGAGTGAAAAAGAAATAAAGGTGGAATAAATGATTGGAGAAGTCCTGCATCATCATCACCAGAGCAACATGACATCATGACTTTTGCGTAAACATATACGCCACTTTCAACCCGGTCTCATCCCAAATCGTCATATAACTGACGTTTTGGGACGTCTTTTGACCATACGTCAATATTCGCCTTTTTAGGGCCCCCTTAAACGTCGGTAGATGAGGTTATGGGATCCTAACTCTACCCCATACCTAAACTTAACCCTAAACCTAACCCGTCACCTAACTGACGTTAAAGGTAAAGCGTCAGTTGTATGACGGCCCGGGATCGCCATCTACCGACGTTTAAGGGGGCCCTAAAAAGGCGGATATTGACGTATGGTCAAAATACGTCCCAAAACGTCAGTTGTATGACGATTTGGGATGAGACTGTGTTACCACTTTCGAGTCAGGTGGCGTGTTTTCTCTACGCATTTTAAGCTATCTGCGTGTATGCGTGTATGTCTACGCCATTAACGTCCGCGTCATTCCGCGTGTCTGTACACGCAGTCAAATCTCCAGTCATAAATGCCATTAACCCCAGTGACGGTTAAGTTTAGGGATGGGGTTGAGGTAAGTCACATCTTATTTTTTCCTAGGATGGTAAGGGAACAGTCATAAATGCCATTAACCCCAGTGACGGTTAGGTTTAGGGACGGGGTTGAGGTAAGTCATATATTTATATAACGTTAAGTCAACGGCGTTCATAAACACGCTGAAAGGCAATTATGCGTCTTGAGAGCACGCCAAAAATGGAAATACGAATTGGCGTGTCATACACACGCTACTTCATGAGATCAGTCTGACCAGAGAGTTACTGGAAGATCCAATTGTGATATTTTAATTAAACATTACAATGTCAAAGAAACACACACACACAAAAAGAGGAAAGCATGCATGGCGGAATTATTCACAATAAGATATATAATATGCATTTATAAAACTGATAAATTTCATGCCTAATTTAATTTGGATTTAGACGGTGGCCTTGCAGAACCCTTATCTGTCCTTGCTCTTACTGATATTTTATTGAATGTATTGTCTGTGTGAAGACTGAGATATGAAGGTTTTTGACAAGTTTT